GTACAAAATTTAGGCAAGTGAGCCACCCCTCGCCTCTTCCTATATCCTCCCTAGGTACGCACGATATGTTCTTTGAACCAAGCGATAAAAAAAATTGAATCCGTGTCGCTAGACGCCAGTAAACAATACAAATAAATGTCAGATAGACGAGCAGATAGACTTCAAAAAGTGCAAGAAATTTCGCGCTCTGGTGATTGGTCCATCACATTTTATTCATAGGAGTAATTAATCTATGTTCATAGTCTTTGTCATTATTATGATATTTCTCAGAAAAAAAATAACATTTCTTCGAGATTTTCTTTATTCGTGAAATATTCCAATGAATTACAATCCTGGATAAAAATGACCAGATAATTTTGCATTCAAGCGTATCATCTTATACAAATTGCATTCGGTTATTTTCATATTTTGTCATCCTCGGACTCGGGCTCTTTCGCCAAAAACTTGCAATTTTTAGATAACAGGATTTCTTGCAAAATTGTCGGCAATTTTAATGCACTTGTGCAGTTATGACCCAGTATTTTTTAACCAATCCAATTGGCTTTTTTGACCAATCACTAAACAGGCTGATTCAAAAGTAAGCGACCTCCTTTCAAGGGCGTATTCCTTGCATAAAAATGAGGCAGAAAGTTCCTACTAATAAGGGTCCGAAAATGCTTCCTTAGGAAGCTACGCCGCTTTGAATGTACACCAAACTTCAATTTCACAAGGAATTCCAAAGAATTTCAAGAAATTTCGAGGAGTTCTAAGGAATTCCAGTTGTTTGTACACCAAAATTATACCGCACTTCACACAAGGGATTCCAAGAAACTCCAAGGAATTCCAGGAAATTCCAAGAAAATCCAAGGAATTCCAAGGAAATCCTAGGAATTCCAAGGAAATCTAAGGACTTTCAAAGAAATCCCAGGAATTTCAATGAATTCCAAGGAAATCCAAGGAATCTCTAGAAATTGTTTGAACACCAGAATTATACCGCACTCCACTCAAAGAATTCCAAGGGAATCCAAAGAAATCCAAGGAATCACAAAGAAATCCAAGGAATTTCATGAAAATCTAAGGAATTCCAGATTTTTGTATCCCAGGAATATACCGCATTTCACCCAAGGAATTCAAGGGAATTCCATGAAAATCCAAGGAATTCCGAGGAAATCCAGGGAATCCCAAGGAATTCCAGTTATTTGTACACCAGAATTCCACCACGATTTTTTCTCTTCAACTTCAAAATCCTTCACAATAAATTTTGAAAATTGGGGCGTAGCTCCCTTAGGAAGCATTTTTGGACCCTTAATAAAAATTATTTTTGGAGAGTACTACATCTGATCCGAGATCTGATCTGTGCATCTTATCGAGTAGTTTTTCCATTTTTGTTTCCATAACGTAGAAAAAAATCACAAAATCGGTCAAAAACGCACTACTTCACAGGTGTTTATAAATTAGTATAATGTAAAAAAAATGAAAATCCATTCGATAAGATGCATCGATTGCACCTTTGACTACCCAGGAAAAAAAATTGAGCCTCTAGCATGATCCATAACCATAGGGGAACTTGGAAGCGGTACCTCGTTTATTGGCGGAGGCGCTGCGGAATATGCCCTCTTAATAGGAACATTTTGCCTTATTTTCATGCAAGGAATACGCTTCTGAAAGGATGCCGCTTACTTTTGAATCACCCTGTATAGCAACGTATGTATTTTGGTGGAATTTTTTTTCTCTTGCGGGTACTTAACAGCGAATTAAATCGGAAATGTTTTGACGTTCCAATGACAGAATAATATTATAATTTTTTCCGTGACGGGAAAAAGTTAGAAATTCCATCAATGTCACTTTCCATAAATTACTTTTTTCACACGGGAAAAAAGTGGGTACTTTTTCCCGGATATATATCACATATATATATACACTGTTGATGGCTTTTGTTGTGCTATAGTTCCGAAAAATAAGCCAACAACGTATCCGAGACAGAACTGCAAGTACGAGTGCAAGGATAATAAATAACACTCTGTACTTTCGTCTCGTTATAGGTCGTTATTGGTGTGGTAACCGACACAGAATGATATTGGAAGACAAGAAAAAAAAAAGAAACTGGCGAATACATTTTATGTGTTGAGGTGGGCAGCTAGGAATCGCCTACTCATCGTTAGGTTAGCTATATTAACTAACTCTAGTGGCTCTACCTGTCACTTTTTTTTAATCTTTCGCCTTATTCCTTTGAAATCCATACCTAATCAACTAATCTTGAAGACACTCCGAATCAAATAAACTGCTGTGGAATTGAAACGATTATCATTATTTTAGGAAAATTGATGAGAAGTTTCGAAACATCTCAAATATCTTGAATAGTCAAGATTATTTATTTTTCTAGCAACTCGCCATTACTGATATTAAGTAGAAATTACAGGTACAAACTAGCTGGAGGATTTGTACTCCGAAGGTCATTTGAAAATGATAATTTTCAAAAATGCTGTTCATGTAGTTTTGTATTTCTACACCAACAATGCTGGTTAATTGAATCGTTGAATTCTTGGTTGAATCTATATTCCAAATACTTTCTTAGGTTTCCCAAAATTCTACAATTTACCCACCGCTTGTATACTTATTGCATCCCATTATACTTCATGTACCTCCTAGAACGAGTCCTAGCACTTCTCCGTACTTTCCAACGATTTCCCAAGGTTCCTAAAAGTCGAACGACGTATACACTAATACCATCTTACTCTCAATCCCACTTCACACTTTTAAGAACCTTCTCATATTTTCGTTTCCCAAGGTTCCACAATACAGAGTGGGCCTTTGAAAACGAAACAGAGGCTCTGTAGGTCGCCAAAACCGGATTATGAAAAGAATCTGAAACACGTCAACTACGTTTTCGAGGGGGACATCGTCCTACAATATTTTCAGCCCTGCGGCGTTGCCGCTGCTAACGAAAAGAAGCAACAAATTTGTTATTTCAAATGGAACACCTTGTATTTCATTGCATTTTTAGATTCTCCCCGAAGAGCTGATTGCATCAATGCATCACACTTGGGGTCTAGCTGTAATGGTTTCAGGGATATAAAGTGTTCAAAACGGTTCAAAATCGAGATTTTTCAACTTTGACATTTTTTTGTGTCGAAACTATTCATTATTGGTCGAAACGGCTCTCATGTCCCTATCTCAACTTGTGATTTACTATCTACTGACATTTAACTGGAACAGATACAGGGTGATCAGAATTCTGAATCTTGAACCACCCTGTATTTGTTTCAAATAAATGTCAGTAGATAGTAAATCACAAGTTGAGATCGGGACATGAGCCGTTTTGACCAATAATGAATAGTTTCGACACAAAAAAATGTTAAAGTTGAAAAATCTCGATTTTGAACACTTTATATCCCTGAAACCATTACAGCTAGACCCTAAGTGTGATGCATTGATGAAATCAGCTCTTCGGAGAGAATCTAAAAATGCAATAAAATACAAGGCGTTCCATTTGAAATAACAAAGTTGTTGCTTCTTTTCTTTAGAAGCGGCAACGCCGCAGGGCTGAAAATATTTTAGAAAGATGTCCCGCTCGAAAATGTAGTTGACCTGTTTCAGTTTTTTTTGATAATCCGGTTTTGGCGACCTACAGAGCCTCTGTTTCGTTTTCAAAGGCCCACTCTGTATATCCTCCGATGGTAAACATATCGCACTCCTTTATACTTCATGTCGAGCTTCATATGTACTTCTTAATACTTCTCCGATCCTACCTCCCAACCATTTCCTGAAGTTCTGTTAGGTTGTGCAACTTATACACTCATACCTTCCTGCTTCACACCATAATTTGTCCTACAAACTCCAAGCCAAAGGCTCATACAACAATATACAGCCATACCGACCCATACTATACCTGGTGGATACTCATTCGAAAGTCTTTCTTTCTAGTACTTCCCCCTATCTCCCAAATACTTCCTAAAGTTTCTCAATATAACAATATACCCTCCGCTGGTGAAATCATCGCAGTCAAAATTGTGTACACCAAACTTCAATTTCACAAGGAATTCCAAAGAATTCCAAGGAATTTCTAGGAATTCCAAGGAATTCTAGTTGTTTGTACACCAGAATTATACCACACTTAACACAAGGAATCCCAATAAACTCCAAGAAATTTCAAGGAAATTCAAGGAATTACAAGAAAATCCAAGGAAATCCAAGGAAATCCAAGGAATTCCAGGGAAATCCAAGGAAATCCAATAAATTCCAAGAAATTCCAAGGAAATACAAGGAATTCCATGGAAACCCAAGGAAATCCAAGAAATTCCAAGGAATTCCAAGGAAATCCAAGGAATTCCAAGGAATTCCCATTTGTTTGTACACCAGATTTATACCGCACTTAACACAAGGAATCCCAATAAACTTCAAGTAATTCCAAAGAAATTCGAGGAATTCCAAGGAAATCCAAGGAAATCCAAGGAAATCCAAGGAAATCCAAGGAATTCCAAGGAAATCCAAGGTATTCCAAGGAAATCCAAGGAATTCCATGGAAATCCAAGAAATTCCAAGGAAATACAAGGAATTCAAAGGAAATCCAAGGAATTCCATGAAAAGCCAAGGAAATCCAAGGAATTCCCATTTGTTTGTACACCAGAATTATACCGCACTTCACCTAGAGAATTCCAAGGGAATCCAAGGAATTCCAGTTGTTTGTAGACCAGGAATATACATCACTTCACCTAAGGAATTCCAGGGAATTAGAAGGAAATCCAAGGAAATCCAAGGAAATCCAAGGAATTCCAAGGAAATCCAAGGAATTCCAAGGAAATCTAAGGAATTCCAAGAAATTCAAGTTGCTTGTATACCATAATTCCACCGCTATTCACCCCTCGTTCTCAACCATTTCCGAAGGTTCCCTAGAGTTCTATCACGTAGAAATGCATACCTTGGTGCTATTTATAAGCACCCCTTCAAACTTCCTGAAGGTATTCTTCCCAGCACTTCCTTGTACCTCCCAAACAACACCCCTATCTCAATTTCCGACTCACCTTTGCACTCGTTGGCATCCCTCGCCGTAGCCCTGCTCCACGGCCTATCGAAATGGAACGGCTTACACCGTTCGCAATCCCTCCCAGCCGTATTGTGCTTACACTCGCATCCCAACTGCCCATCCCTGCCCAACAAGCAACGACTGGCATGCCCATTGCACTTGCATCGACCGCCCACCGCGAAATCCGCCACCGCGTACTGATGCGTCACCTGGTGATACCCGCCCAGCTCGGGAGAAGAAGCTTGCTGGGGCTTCTTCTCCGCCTCTTGATCCACCACCTGCATCTCGTTAACCAGATGCACCGACGGTTCCTTCCCCTCCAAGTCCTTGCCAAACATCCGCTCGTCCACCAAGATGTCAAGGTTATCGGACAAATCTTCTATGGGCATGTGCAGCCGGTTGAAAACCACTTTGATGTCGGTAGCGGTGACCCAGTCTTGCAGCACGGGACTGCTATCGAAATCCGCAGCGCTGGGGCGACCCTCCAACGTACTGAAAGCTATCCTCGAGGTGTGACTGTAGCCTAAAGCGTCACCTCCTGTGTACCGATGAGCATCAGTGCATCTAGCTTCTTGCTCGTTGGTTTTACCTATGGTAGCTCGGTTAGGGCGACCATACACTCGCCTACACTGGCTAGAGTAGAACTGAAAGGGCTGCCATGTTTTGCCGTAATCAGTGCTCTTGAAGATGGCTATGGAATCAGGCTTGGGAGTTAAAGGACAGAACTGCAAGCTGACGTAAGTGAGCTCGTACTTCTTCCCTAAGCTCAGGGTAAGAGTCACGTTATCAGGTGGCGCGTTTATAGAAGATACCGGAGGTACAGGCTCTGACCTCCAGCATGTTACGTTGTTGGGGTTGTTTAGGTCCGTGAGGAAGTTAGCTGGGTATCTGCTCTTGGGTTGCCTGTCGTCGCAGAGATGACACTGGGGATTGGCGCCTGGTTCAGGGGCTTCGCAGTAGTGCGTGGGGGAGTTTAGCCCGCAAGTGGACGACGCTTTCACCGGCACCCCGAAAGCTGCGTTCACAAAGTCCGGGATACACCTACGCGGTCTGTCGTCGTCGTAGCACGGATCGGAGGGCGTCTGTTGGCCCTCGAACATCTTGAGGAAGTTCTCGCTGACGGATAGGGCCGAAGAGGCGCAGAAGAACAGCCACAGCAGCCACATATCGCGCGGTCGAGATGCGAAGAGTGCGACGGTTGCGAGCGCTACATGGGAGAGCGAGAGGCTGCGGAACCTCTGCGTCTCGGCGGTTGTCGGTGAACTGAGTGCCGACGAGTGGACTGGCGGGCTGCCGTCTGTTGGGGCCGCAGAAGAGTCTGTGTAGAGTAGGACCGCCCTCCGAAAGGGCGCATACCACACGGCACGGCATCTGGGTGGAGGCTGGAGCGAGCTCCCTCTGAGGAGTGGAATGCAGGCAAGGACACAAATTTGTTTTTGGATGTATGATAAATTCATATTCATCATACAGGACGTGGAAAGAAATTCTGAATTGAGAAAACCTGATCAGGAATCTGCGATTGAGGTCTATAAAAATAACAAGTTTTCATCGTTCAAGTTTGAACCCCTTGATTGGGTGAAAGTATTGAAAAGGAATATTCTCAGATATATTTATGAACACAAAAAAATTGATACATATATATATCAAGAAATACATTGAGAATTCGCATTCTCCATGTGATGAAAATATCAATTCTTTCACAGTTTATTCAACAGTCTTAATCTATGCATCTATCGAACACACACGATGAGAATTTGAAAACAAAATCTTCTGGAGTAGAGAATTTACATTCCCCTTCATATATACAGTGTGACCCATTTGATGGAAGCACCCTTATAAAACTTACATTTTTCAACCGATTGGAATGATTTTTTTTTTGTTAGGTAGATATTCAAAAAGTCTATTAGGACACCAAATATCATGAATGAATCTCCATTTCCAGGGCCAACTAATCTGATTTTTCAAGGTCAAAAATCTAAAAAAATTACTAGCGATTTTTTTAGAAAAAATCTGACTACACCACTGGATTTGTGACATTTTCAAATGGGTAACATGTAAATTACGTTGAAATGCGTAAATCAATAAAAAAGTTATAAAGGAATGAAATTTGAAAAATATGCCGAAGTGATCAGTAGTTAGTTGGCATTTTTTAGGTTTCATTTGTGTTTTATTTGCGCTGATCAAGTCCCAGACTGTTTCTGAGGGGTTAGTTGAAGTATTTATGAGATGATCATTCATCCTCATAGCTTTTTCTACTCACATAACTAAAATGGAATTTAGCGTACGGATATGTATCACGCTAAATGATCGATTAATCACGGATTGTCGATCTGTGATTTATTCGAAATATTAAACACGTTACTATTGCAACACGATTTCTTAAACACATTACCATGGCAACACAGTTCATTAAACACAGTTTCAGTAATTTTAGACATGTTTGACCTGTCAATTGTATCAACTGTCAACTGTTATTTTCAAATTCCATATCAGAATTATTCAAACAATATTCGTTTGTATCAGAATTCTTCATTGAAAATATATGCGAAATGTAGACGAAAGTGAAATCGAAGAGAATGTTGTGGTATTTGCATATCTCCAAGAAGGGTTAAAATGAAGCATCCATCATTGAGAACAATTCATTCATTCTGCGCTAAGCATGATATAAAAGTGAAACAAAGGTTAGTAAGCAATGGACTGGACACGACTGGACACATCTACAACCAATATCACTTATTCGTGTCTCGCTGGTTGCATGCAGTTGCATGTATTATGTTCTCATCAATTCCCATTCCTTTCGAATTATTTTGTAGGTTAGCAGGTATAGCAGGTATGTTAATGTAATTTTCGGAATTCGTAGAAAAAGCATAGTATGTAACGCGTTTATAAACTCTTCTAGACACTCGTGTATTAAACACTCGCTCCGCTCTGCTCCGCTCGTGCTTAAAATACTCGTTACTAAAAGGACGTTTATAACACTTGTTACATAATATACTATTCTGCAACGTATACGGCTCTTATTACTAAACAAAGTTGCGTCACAGATTAACAAACCTTAGTGTTTTGTGCTGTTAATGCAACTCCTCAGATGGAGCTCCCCCTAGCTTCTAGTTACTCTACCAGTTCCTCTCGAGTGGCGAGCTAGGCTGGCAAGAAGCGATGGTAAATTGATGATTTGAGTTGATTAAAGGCGAATTAGTACGTCGGGAGGGATTATAGCGCTAGAGTAATCGTAATCGATCGGGGGAACAGTACTGCGTTTCTGATGATTGGGATCGATATGGCTCATAAATATGTGATGGCTATACGGTTCCATTTTTTATTAATGAGATATTATCTGGATACCGATAATCATTCGTCGTCTGTTCGAATTGAGTGGTCGTTGCATGGTCGAACGGTGTGGGAGGAATGTCGGAAGGCATTTCTAAGAGCTGTAGACTGCAGAGTTAGACGGAATAGTTTCACAAATTGGTAGAAGTCCATGGTTTCTCAGAGTGGAGTCATGTATTAAATACTAAATGATACACAAAGTCATCTCCACAACAGTTAATGTGATTAACACATCAATAATTGGTACATGTTTTGGACATATACAGTGTGTTACAATTTGGTCCACCCCATCCCTGTACTTTCGTATTCCTGGGGCGTTTCGAAAATGTTTTATTCTCACAGTATACTACTCAAAATTATCTACTTTTTCGAGCAAATAAAATTCATTAATTACAATTTCTTAGCCTATTGAGATCACAAAAACTCCAGCAAAATTGTAGAAAACGAAGTAGGCATTTCTTTACAAGAATTGTGATGTAGGCAATCGATTCGGACTTGTCACAAATACTCTTATATGTATTAATTTTCAAAACAATATCTCATACGGGGTGTTTTTTATCAACGTTACAATTTTTGAATAATTGCACTTTTCAAGTCACCGTGTATAATAATTCTCAGAATTTGAATGATATCATGCAGGCATGATGGTACTAAGGATTAAAATATTTGGCTACAGAGTGAAACGAAAAACTGATAATTGAGATTTTTCTATCAAGAAATGAATAGAAACCAAATGATACCTATAAAAAAATTACACCAAAATTAGACAAAGATATATTAGAGCAGGTGCAGAGATTGGCATGTCTTTGCATAACAGGAACAATGAGATCAGCTCCAAGAGCAGCACTAGAGGTAGGTCATTCTAGATCTCACACCTCTGCACATTGTGGTGAGATTGCACCACCTCGCCGATCTTCCAACAGAACAAATCATCAGGAAGTTCAGTTTTGAGAAGAGCTTCCGAGTGGAACTGAGCAACAAGCGCGAATGGAGCATAGAACCTATATCGAAGCGCTGGGAAGGAACACCATTACTTGGTATACGGACGGGTCTAAAACACCCGAGGGAACTGAAGCAGGAGTCTTTGGGCCTCGCACCAAATACTTCGGATCCACGGGACAATATCCCAGCATTTTTCAAGCGGAAATATACGCCATAGAAAGATGCATCCAGTTCAATCTAGACAGGAAATACCGGAAGAAGGATTTCGTGATTTTATCCGATAGCCAAGCAGCCATCAAAGCGTTGAGCTCTTCTAACATCAACTCGAAGATGGTATGGGAATGCCTAAGCAAATTGAATGAGCTAGGCAGCAACAATAAAGTGATCCTCCTCTGGATGCCAGGGTATATTGGAGTGGAGGGGAATGAACAAGCTGACACTCTGGCACGACAAGGGCCTCAACGCCACTGATCGGACCAGAGCCATTTTGCAGCCTTGGAAATTCCTATTTCCAAGGAGAACTTGAAAAGGCGGAAGGAGCCTTGAGAGTCAGACAATGGAGAAGACTTCCAGGCTGCGACAGGCTAAAGATCTCCTCGGAAATTTCAACCGAGAAAGATCTAAGAAACTGATGAACCTCCGCAAAGGAAGTCTCAAAGCAATAACGGGATTTCTAACGGGGCGTTGCAGACTCAAATAGAACACCTAAGGAAGCTAGGCTTAAATTAGATTTAGAGTAGATTTGGAATGGGGCCTTCGGGCTATCTGCCTCCACACTGCGACCTTTTCAGATCGATTGTGTCTGCCCTCAAAATCGATTAGAGTTCTTCGGCTAGCCCCGCCTTCTCTATGAGACTCCATAGGCTAGCTTTCAGATCTCCTGTGTATCTCTGGGCTCCTGGTTTTTCCTCAGCCAGCGTAAGGAACCTTAGACCTTAGTCTTGACAAGCCCTCACAGTGGCTAAGTATGTGTACTGCTGTTTCTTCCTCTTCTTGACAGAACCTGCACAGCAGTTCTTCAGTCAGACCTATCGTACTCATGTGTTTGTTGAGCCTACAATGCCCTGTGAGAAGTCCCACTAGTATTCTAGTTGAACTTCGTTTCTGGCTTAGTAGATATTCTGTGATAATGATGGCGATGGTTTTTTAATAAACTCTTTTGCCTGTCTCATTCCTGGCGATTTGTTCCACCATTCTTGAGATTTGGTTTGCATCCATGATTTGATACTAGTCTTTTGTATAGCTTTCGCAATACCACAGAAGGGTTCTGGGCCATTCAGAGCTTTGTTTGCTCCTGCTCGGGCAAGTGAGTCTGCCTCTTCATTGCCCTCGTACCATGTATGTGCTGGTACCCATGCTAGAGTCAATCTGTTCTGACTGCCCAGTGCATTTAGGGTTTCTAAGCAGTCCCATACTAGTTTTGAGTTAACTTGCATAGAGTTGACTGCTCTGATTGCCGCCTGGCTATCTGAATAGATTGCAATGGTTGTGCCTTTAAACTCTTGCCTTATCAATTCTTTCACGCAATGATGTATTGCAATAATTTCTGCCTGAAACACCGTCGCGTATTTGCCTAAGCTCAGTGAGATTCTTGTCTTTGGCTTGGAACCATAAATACCAGCTCCAAGCTAGGCTTACAGGAGGACGGCACCTGCAGATTCTGTGAGAAAGAACCAGAAACATACCCCATCACATATACTGATGGAGTGTGACGCTGTACATCACAAAAGATTGAACACACTGGGAACACACCAGCTGACTGTGGAAGAAATACCATAACTAGGTCCCCTCAAAATCCTTAAACTCCTGAAGGATTTGAATCTTGAGGGACTGCTATGAAGAAGAAATCCTTGATATAGCAGAATAAGCAGATGGGGCACAATAGATCGCAGCGCATCTGTCACCATCCAACCTACCAATACCATCACAAAACCAACTAAATTTTGATATCATCCTAAGTCATACAGGGTGGACATCTCTATCTACATTTTATTAGAGTACAACGCAATGTACCTATGTCCCCAAACGAAGCACCTTGCGACCAATGTTCATAAGAACTTTCAGCTGTCGAACCATCTCCCAAAATGAACGATATTCCTGGACACCCTGT